TGTGTCCTTTCAATTTCCTCCCCCCTGCAAGGATAACTGTGTTCCTCCCCTGTAAGGATACCGCAAGGGGCCCCGGTGGCATAGGGGTGACATGTTGAGCGGCTCTACCTGTAAGGTCAGCAGCTACTCCGCAGGAGGAAGGTGGGCCTTTAGACTCCAGTAAAGAGTCACCGTCTGGGCAGCTCCGCCCTGTCTCCATGAGTCAGAAGGGACGCAGTGGCCGTGAGTTTGGTTTTCAGAGGGACACTGTTTCCGTTCCACCCCTTCCTGACCTGCCTGGACTCCTCACAGGAGCGGGAGCAGACCACACACCCGGGACCTCCAGGTGAACCCCAGAGCCAAACCCACCTGCCTGCTGCCTGTGATGACAGCCTGCCCAGAAGCCTTGACCTCGGCTCCATTGCTGAACACCTCTGATCGTGAAAAACCCTCTTTTACCTTGGTCAGTGACCATGGCCTGGGTTGTCCGAGCCCCCCCACCCCCGTCTCCCCTGGCACCGCATTTCTCTAATCAATCTTCTTGCTTGTGGGTGAGCTTGGCTCCTGCCTGGTGATTCTTACTGGGTGAAAGAGAGAACTTCATCTGTGGGGCAACCCCTGCAGTGGGCTGGAGGCCCCAGGGTGCCTGCAGATGCCGGGCCTCTGGCCCTGGGGCTCTGGGGAGCTGAGGGTGTGACTCTGGGAGCGTGAGGTCATCTGAAGGGGTGGGCCCCACGATAGAGGTTGTAGGATGGGGTGTCATTGGTACCAAGCTGAACACACCCTTGGGGCCAAGCAGAGACGTGGGGTATAGGAGGTGGGGGCTGGGCTTCAGGGGGCGTGACAGCCACAGGAGGGGCGGGCAGGAACAGGGGCTTGTCCTGCCAAGTCATTGGACCAGTGGCTTTCCTGGGTCACGCTTTACCATGTCCTAGGTTGCCTGGCTCCTCTCTGGGCACCAGATTCCTGACTACAGTGAAGACGTTGGAACCACTGAGACACACACACACACACACACACACACACACACACACGAGGTGGGATGGAGCATGGGGCTCCAGTTCTGGCTCCCAGCCCCCCTCCCATCTTATAAACACCCACCAAAACGGG